GTACATCATCTCCTTTGCCTTCACAGCCCCCTGTAAAGTAGGTACTATTATTTCCCCTGTGTGCTGATGGGAAACAGATCCAAAGAGATTAACTATCTGGCTAGAGTCAGATAGGGTAGAAAGGGCAGAGTCATGAGTTAGGCCTGCTAACTCCAGAGTCCTTGGTCTTAAGCACTACACTGAATCCCTTGAGACAAATCTGAACTCCCCTCAGGGTGGTTGGTAGCATTCCTCCCTGGTGCTCTGCTCTACCCAAGGAGCTACTGAATATGGTTAAGAAGAGGGAGGGAAAGCATTGCCTCCGATTCTCCTGAGGAGTCATGCCATGTCTGTGGAAGGTTGTCATTTCGTTCACATGCTCAGCTAAGGCAGGAGTTGCCTCCCTGATATCCACTGCTTGGGGGCTAGTGGTGTTAGCCCCAAGGATGGTCTGTTTTAGGCAGCAATAAGGGTGAGAAAGATCCTGATTACATCGATCCTGGGTCTTCCACCATTAGTTCTAGTTTTTATCTACTTTCGTTTGAGAAGTCCATTTAATACAATCATTCTTTAAGTTCCATTTAAATCTACAGATGTCTGGGCTTCCTAGGATAACCTCTTTTCCTTTTAAATTATGGTAAAACACACGACAAAATTTACCATCTTAACCACTGTTAAATATACAACTGGGTGGTATTAATACATTCACAATATTGTGCAACCATCACCACCATCCATGATGAAACTCTGTACCCATTAAGCAATAACTCCCATTACCTCCCTTCCCCAGCCCTTGGCAACCACCATTCTATTTTCCTGTCTTTATGATATTACTTACTCTAAGTACCCCATGTAAGTGGAATCATACTGTATTTGTTGTTTGGTGACTGGCTATTTCACTTAGCATAGTGTCCTCAAGGTTCATCCATGTTGTAGCATATTGCAGAATTTCCTTCCTTTTTAAGACTGAATAATATTCCATTGCATGACACACTACTTTTTTTATCCACTCATCCATCAATGGACACTTGGGTTGCTTCCATGTTTTAGCTATTGTGAACATGGTGTACAAATAGCTCTTTGAAACCCTGCTTTAAATTCTTTTGGGTATGTACCCAGTAGTAGAATTGCTGGATCATATGGTAATTTTATTTTTAATTTTTTTGAGGAACTGCCATATTGTTTTGCACAGTAACAGTACCATTTGAAATTCCCAAGTACATGAGGAATGTAAAATATTGTTTCTTTCTTTCTTTCCTTTTTTTTTTTTTTTGGTAGTAGCCATCCAAATGGGTGTGAAGTGGTATATTATTAGAGTTTTGATTTGTGTTTCTCTAATAATTAGTGACATTGAATATCTTTAAATGTTTTTATTGGCCATTTGTATATCTTCTTCAGAAAAATGTCTATTCAGGTCCTTTGCCTATTTTTGAATCAGGTTATATTTTTATTGTTGAGATTTAGGAGTTCTTTATATATCCTGGATAATCCCTATCAGATAAATGATTTGCAAATATTTTCTCCTATTCTGTGGGTTGACTTTTTACTCTGTTGATAGTGTCTTTGAGGCAAAGAATTTAAAAATGTTTATGAGGTCCACTTTGTTTAATGTTTCTTTTGTTGCCTTTGTCTTTATTGTCATATTCAAGAAATCATTGTCAAATTCAATGTTGTGAAGTTTTGTCCTATGTTTTCTTCTAAGAGATTTAATGTCTTAAATTTATTTCTTTAAAGGCACACCCGGTTAGCTCAGTTGGTAGAGCATGAGACTCTTAAATTTAGTTCTTTGATCCATTTTCAGTTAATTACTGTATAAACATATAGTGTTAGATAAGGGCCCAGCTTCAGTCTTTTTTTATGTGGATATTCAGTTTTCCCAGCACCATTTGTTGAAAAGACTGTCCTTTGGTCATTGAATGATCTTGGCACCCTTGTCAAAAATCATTTGACCATATACGCAAGAGTTTGTTTCTGGGCCCTCTATGCTATTTCATTAGTCTATATGTCTTTATGTTAGTAACATACTGTTTTGATTAGTGTAACTTTCAGTAAGTTTTGAAATCAGAAGGTGTGACTCCCCTAGTTTTGTTTGTCTTTTTTAAGATTGTTTTGGTTATTTAGGGTCCATTGAGAATCCATATGAATATTAGGATTTTTAAAAAATTTTTGCAAAAATCATCACTGGGATTTTGATAGGGATTGAATTGAATCCATAGATTGCTTTGGGTAGTATGACATTTTAGCAATGTTAAGCCTTTCAATTTATGAACATGGGATGTATTTACATTTATTTTTATGTCTTCTTTAATTTCAGCAAGTGATTTGTAGATTTCATTATGCAAGTCTTTTACCTTTTTGGTTAATTCCTAGGTATTTTATTCTTTCTGATGCTATTGTAAATGGAATTGTTTTTGTAATTTCCTTTTCAGATTGTTCTTTGTTAGTGTGTAGAAATGCAGCTGAGGTTTGTGTGTTCACTTTGAATCTTGCTCCCTTGCTGAATTGATTGATCCCCTTCACTGAGTTGACTTATTAGTTCTAACAGGTTTTTTTTGTGTCTTTTTAAAAAAGATTTTATTTATTTATTTTTAGAGAGAGGAGAAGAGAGGAGGAAAGAGAGGGAGAGAAACATTAATGTGCAAGAGAAATATTGATCAGTTGCCTCTTGCATGCCCCCAACTGAGGACCTGGCCCACAACTCGAGCATGTGCCCTGACCAGGAATCAAACCAATAGCTCTTCTGTTTACAGGGTGACACCCAATCCACTGAACCACACCAGTCAGGGCTCCTTTTTTGTCTTTAGAGTTTTCTATATGTAAGATCATATCTTTAAAAAAAATCTTTAAATGAAAGTTTTTTTGGTGGTATTGTAACTGATCATTTTTATAATTCTTTTAAGTATTTTCCAGACAAATCAGAATTCAGGGGTGGGAAGATGGGAAGCAAGGGCAAACAGAATGCCAAATCTACTTCTAGATTTCAGGTCATCCGTGAATTATATACCAAACCATAACATAATTTGAAGATGTAAAACTCTAAACTGTCTCAGCTTCTGAGACATTAAAAGGAAAGAGAAAGGTGGAAGTGTATGCCTGTGTGTGAGAGCCTGAAAGACCAACACATAAACATGTTTCTTTTCCTCAAGTTCAAAGGTAGCTCCCATTAGAAATAATAGAAATAACATAGAAATAATATAGGAACTCTCACTTAGGAGAGTTCTGTGTGTGAGCCTGATAGAGCTACACACAAATGTATTTCTTTTCCTCCAGTCCAAAGGCAGCTCCCATTAGGAATAACAGAAATAATAGAAGAACTCACACTCAGGAGAGTTCTATCTAGCAAGGAAGTGTCTTTAAGGCTGAAAAGAAAAGCCCAACAGAAGGGCCCTACATGAATTTCTGTGTTTTAATAGAATGCTATCTTGAGGACCAGATAGAATACTAATGTGGAAAAAATTCAGTAATGACATCAAAAGAAATTGCTGTAGAAAAGGTCCTAGCCCCCCACTCATTCTAATTATGACCTCTATGAGTCATTTGAATCTTCCCCCAAAATCTAAATAAGTGCAAAGCCCAAACATTTTGGGGGAACATATTACCTCCTTTAACTTAATTATATATCTTTCAGTGGTAAGACTTTAGAGCTTCATTCAGCAAAATTTGTGGATGCCTAGGATGTGCCAGGTACCGATCTTAGTCCTGGGTATCTGGCAGCAAACAAAGCCCGTAGTGCATGGAGCTTTCATTTAATTGGGGGAGACGGACAACAGTCATATAAACCTGCAGTATGTCAGAGGTGGCAGTGGTGAGAGAGCAGTAACTCATGGGATGAGCAGTATGAGGCAGGGTGATACATTTGATAGTAGGAGGGGCCTCTGATCAGGTGACACATGGGCAGGGACTGACTGAGAGAACTGGGGCAAGAGCTTCTTATACTCCTTTCTATGTCACACAGCAGCTGTTCTATAACTTGAATGTAACAGATGTTTCTTTATAAATAGCAATTTATCAACTTAGTGATGATTTGGTTTTGTTTCCTATGATGAGTGAAAGGATTAAGTAGAATCTGGTGAATTTACAGTATTATCTAGTCTAGTGTTTCTCAACTGAGGATGACTTTGCCTGCCAGGGGACATCTGGCAGTGTTTGAAGACACTGATTATCATGATGTGGCAGAGGAGGGGAGGGTACTACTGGCATGTCCTGGGTAAAAGCCAAAGATGCTACGAAACATTCCATCGTGCATTGAATCAGTCCATATGGCAAAGAGTGAAGGGGCCTAAAATGTCAGCAATGCCACTGTTGAAAAGAGGTGATTTGGTCACCAGGGAGGCTGCTACATATCTCTGGTGAGAGAACCGAGAGACTGGGCAGGAGCTGCTCTTCCAAACAACTCCATCAAGATATCTGGACATCTGCAAACAGGGTAGATCTAAGGCCCTTGGGGTTACCTTCGGGCATCTGTTCCAAAGCACCGGACTTAGTCGGATGGTTTAAAAAACCATATGGGGATTTATTCATTAAGCAGCATTAAATAAGTTTCCTGAATACCTTTAGTATAAGAGAGGGTCAGGAGACAAGATGTGGTCCAAGCCATCAAAAATTTTACATCCTAGGGAGAATGGGAGACATGAAGACAAACACCTGCAATGTGACAAAGGCCGTAACAGGGTAGAAATCAAACGGTGTAGGGTAGGGAGTAATGACTTTTGTTGGAGTGACCCACGTAGGTTTAATATCTAAGGCAGCATTTGAGCTGAGCTTGGAAAGTGCGTAGGCTTTAAATAGACAGAGAGGACAATAGAGGGTAAGAGGTAAAAACACAGAGAAAGGTAGGGAATAATAATATTAGTAGCAACTGTCATGAAGCAGAGGTGCCAAGAACTTTGTTGTGACAAACAATTGTAGTCCAAAATAAAAACTGATATATAAAAATCAGCTGAAGCCTGGCATGACCCAAAGTGACTTGAATTCTCATTTTATACATTTCAAAAAGATAACGCAACATGGGGGGCGGTTACCTGGGGTGAGTTGCATAAATACCGAAGCAGTTCGCCGATATACTGAATGACAGTGACATTGTATTTTCTGCAGTCATCCCAAAACTGGCTGGCTGAAAATTTGCTCCGCAGAACAAGAGTAGCACCTGCAAGAGAGGGCATAGAAAGTGTTGACAAAAAAGTGCTATGAAAACCCTCCCCAATTATATTTGCCACTTTGAAAGGTAGAAACTTAAATATTATATTTGTAAGTGCTGAGTACCAATCATATTCAATGCCAAAAAACCCCAAATGAGATCTTGTTTTGTCTTATAGGAGCTTCTAATTTATTCTGAAAAAGACACATAAAACTTCTTTCTAATAAAAGTCAGTGTGCAATAAATAAGAGGGTCAAATTAGCCTCTAAGGGAATATGAGTGTTTGTGTATACATTGATTATGCTTGGGCAAGGGATGAGAAAGACATTTTTTGAAAGAGGAAGGATTTGAATTAGGTCTTGAGAAATGAACATGGGGAAAGATGGGAGAATTCCAGGCAGAGGAAAAAGCATGAACATGAAGACAGAATAGGCCAGAGGGTATTGGAGGGTGGCCTAGACTCAGCTGGCCTGTAACAGCGGTGGTGAAGGGTGGGTGGCTCATGAAAGATGACCCTGGAGAAGCAGCTGGGGTGCAATCATGGAGGCACCAGACCTGATTTTGTGGGCAATGGAGAGCCAGGTTCTTGAGCAAGCAGGAGAATTCTTCTTTGTTGGGGGAGCTAGAGATAAAAATGGTTGCTAAATATATCCACATCTTAACCCTTAGAGGCTGTGAATATGCTACCCTACATGGCAAAAGGGTCTGTATATGTATGATTAAGTTAAGGACTCTGAGATGGGAAGATTATCCTGTGTTATCTGAGTGGGCCCAATGTAATCACAACAGTCCTTATCAGAGGAAGGCAAGAAGAAGGTCAAGGGCAACTTCTGGCCAAGACGGAGGCATAGGTGGACACACTTTGCCTCCTTGCACAACCAAAAGAAGGACAACAAGTTTCAAAACAAAAAACAATCAGAACTGCCAGAAAATCGAACTGTATGGAAGCCCAACAACCAAGGAGTTAAAGAAGAAATGTTCACTGAGACTGGTAGGAGGGGCGGAGACAGGCAGCTGGGATGAAGAGGATGCCTGGCAAGGTTGGCAGCTGGAGGACCAGAAGGGCTAGGCAGTGGCTGGCAGACCGGGCGATTTCACACATGCATGCAGATAAACAGGGAGAAACAACTGGGGAGTGAGACAGCCCACCCAACCCAGGGCTCCAGTGCGGGAAGAGAAAGCCTCAAAATCCCTGGCTGTGAGACCCTGTGGGGGTTGTGGTGGTGGGATAAATTCCCAGCCTCACAGGAGAGTTGTTGGAGAGACCCACGGGATCCTAGAATGTACACAAACCCGCCACCCCAGGAATCAGCACCAGAAGGGCCCAATTTGCTTGTGGGTAGCTAGGGAAGTGACTGAAAGCCATCCCAGAGCCAAGCAAGTGGCATTGTTCCCTCTTGGACCCCTCCCCCACATATAGCATCACAACCCAGCAAAGAGGGTTGCCCTGCCCTGGTGAATACCTAAGGCTCCACCCCTGACAATGTAACAGGCATGCTGAGGCAAAGAAATATGGCCCAAATGAAAGAACAGATCAAAACTCCAGAAAAAATACAACCAAGCGGTGAAGAGATAGCCAACCTATCAGATGTACAGTTCAAAACAGGTAATCAGGATGCTCACAGAAATGGTTCAGTATGGTTGCAAAATAGAGGAAAAAGTGATGGCTATACAATGTGAAATAAAGAAAAATACACAGGGACTCAACAATGAAGGGAAGGGAACTGGGACTCAGATCAACAATTTGGAGCAAAAGGAATAAATAAACATTTAACTGGAACAGGATGAAGAAACAAGAATTCAAAAAAAAAATGAGGAGAGGCATAGAAACCTCTGGGACAACTTTATATGTTCCAACATCCAAATCCTAGGGGTGCCAGAAGGAGAAGAGGAAGACCAAGAAACTGAAAACTTATTTGAAAAAATAATGGAGAATTTCCCTAATCTGGTGAAAGAAATAGACTTTCAGGAGATTGAGGAAGCTCTTGAGTCCCAAAGAAGTTGGACCCAAGGAAGCACACACCAAGCCACATCATAGTTACATTACCCAAGATTGAAGATAAGGAGAGAACCTTAAAAGCAGCAAGGAGAAAAGAGAGAATTACCTACAAAGGAGTTCCCATAGGACCATCAGCTGATTTCTCAAAAGAAACCTTACAGGCAAGAAGGGGCTGGAAAGAAGTTTTCAAAGTCAAGAAAGACAAGGACGTACATCCAAGATGACTCTATCCAGCAAAGCTATCATTTAGAATGGAAGGGCAGATAAAGTGCTTCCCAGATAAGGGCAAGTTAAAGGAGTTCATTATCACCAAGCCATTATATGAAATGTTAGAGGGACTTATCTAAGAAAAAGAAGATCAAAACTATGAAGAGTAAAATGACAACAAACTCAAAACTATCAACAACTGAACCTAAAAATAACAACAAAAACAAACTAAGCAAACAACAAGAAGAAGAACAGAATCACAGAAATGGAGGTCACAGGGAGGATTATCGGTACAGAGGGGGAGGGAGAAGGATGGAGGGAAAGGTACAGGAATTGGAAGCATAAATGGTAGGTACAAAATAGATAGCGGGAGGCTAGGAATAGTGTAGGAAATGGAGAAGCCAAAGAACTTATATATATGACACAGGGACATGAACTAAACTGGGGGGTGGAGATGCTGTTGGGTGCGAGGGGTATCAGGGCAGAGGGAAGCAAAGGGGAGAAAACATTTGGGACAACTGTAATAGTACAATCAATAAAATATATTTAAAAAAAAAGAAGGTCAAGGGCAGAAAGAGATGGGATGATGGAAACAAAAGGTTGGAGTGATATGCTTTGAAGATGAAAGAAGGGGCCATGAGCCAACGTAAGCAGGCAGCCTTTAGAAGCTAGAAAAGGCAAGGAAATAGGTTCTTGCCTGGAGCTTCTAGAAGGAATGCAGTTCTGTTGATACCTTGATTTTAGGAATCCTCACCTTCAAAACAGTAAAAGGAAAAATCTATATTCTTTTAAACCACCAAGTTCGTGGTAACTTGTTATAGTAGCAGCAGGAGACTAACACAATGGGTAAAAATAATGTATCTATTATATTCAACCTAATTAAAAACATGAACTGTAGCAAAGTGAAATAAACTCACAGATATTTTTTATGTTATTAGTTTATTTATACTCTTACATCTACAAAAGTCCAATGTTTTCAAAGAGGAGACATTTTTAAAAATACCATTTTTAATTCTGTAGCATGCATTTTTGCTGCTTGAGCAAATGTGTAAGCAATTGAATTGTCCCTTTGGAAGCCTCAGAGTCACCCTGCTCTTTAAAGGCCCATCAATATGATCAGGCCCAATGATTTCTTGTTGATTTGGAGGTTGGTGTGGGGCTAGGTGTTTTATGGCTGCTCAGTAAGTTGATCAGAGAAAGAAGCAGAGGTTTTTGCAATTGTATATGTATATGTATATGTATATGTATATGTATGTATACTCCTATGTCTATACATACATACTTTATTTATAATAAAATACTACAGGAGAGGAAAAAGTAAATTTTTTTGGCTTAGAGCATTAGAGATGATTTCCTGGAAGAGGTGGATATTAGACTGAGCCTTATATATAAAGGTGGCATCAATCCTGCTGAAGGAAGACAGGATGGCAACTGTAATTTGAATGGGAAAGTTTAAGAAGGAAAGAAAAGAGGTGACAAACCAGGTATTCTGACCAGAGCTGAGGAGCTGTGGGAATAAGGAAGAATAAAGTCCTAGGGAGACAACAGAAGAAGTTTGCGTCAGATGCTGATGGAGGTCAACATGCGGATTTCTGAAGATGGAAATGATGTCAGAGAATTATTTATGGAATATAAGAATCAAATATCTTAACCTGGATAAAAACCTCAAATATTTTTCAAAGGTTTTCTCCTTGACATACTGAACAACTATAGCACTATAGTACTAGACAAGCAGGCATGAAAAAATAGAAACTATTTTAGATATCTGCTTGCTATGTGTGAGCCAAGTGGCCTTGCTATTAACATAGAAGTAAACAACTTCCTAGCACACAGGAGAGTAGCCAAATTTTGAATTACTTTTTCTTACCAGTAGGTGTGAATATGTACTGACCTCAAACGCTTTGTCGAGAGAAAAAGCTTACCAGTCAAAAAACATCCGTGAACGCCAATCAGAAGCGCAGCACTGTGGTACAGGGGCAGAGTGGTATAGATGACATCATCTTTATTAATCCTGCTTATAACACAGAGGCTGATTGCATACCATATGCGCTGATGATTGACCACTGCAGCTTTTGGGAGACCTTGGCAAAGATACAAGAGAAGGTATGCGTGAGTCAAGATTGACCATTCACAGACATGTGGTCTGGGAGAGAGATCTGGCTTAAGAGGAGTTATCATCCAGGGATTACAGAATTGCAGAGGTGAAGGCCACGATCCATTAGACCAGGAATCAGCAATTTTTTCTATAACTGACCAGACAGTAAATGTTTTAGGTTTTGTGTGGTCATAAAGTAGTCTCTGTTGCAACTACTCAACTCTGTTATTATATTGTAGCCAATAGCAGCCAAACATATAAAGCAACAACTATTAATCTTTTTTATCTTTAATTTTTATTCATTCACACTAGACAGCTATTGTGTGGGCTGTTGTCATTTTTTTAAAAGATTTTATTTATTTATTTTTAGAGAGGGGGAAAGGAGTGAGAAAGAGAGGGAGAGAAAGATCAATGTGTGGTTGCTTTTCGTGCGCGCCCCACTGGGGATGTGACCTGCAACCCAGGCATGTGCCCTGACTGGGAATTGAACTGGGTGACCCTTTGCTTTGCGGTCTGGCACTCAATCCACAGAGCCACACCAGCCGGGGCTGTTGTAATTTTTTTATTTGACAGTTTAAGGGAAAAGAGGTCAGCATCCCTGACTAAATAGTTAGGTACTGTGTTATTTTAAAAATTCTTGTGGCACACCAGTTGAAAATTGCTGACATAAATGAATGAATGTGACTCTGAGCTGATAAAAGTATTTACAAAAACAGGTGTGTGGGGGTGGGGTGGGGGAGTTGCTGTCCTTGGCCCGCAGCCCAGAGTTCGCTGACCTCTGGGTTACATGATTGTTACAGTGGTGATTTTAAGAGAAAGGAACAAATGGTTATTGAATTTCTGCTCTGTGCTTACCAATTTGCAAGATATTTTCAAAATTCCACTTAATTCTCATAGTTAATGAGATAAGTAGAATTATATTCTCTAACTTCCAGATAAGAAGGCTGAGTTTCAGAGAGTAAATTGCCCACCCACCCCGTCACCTTCCTTCCTAACCACTTTTATGGATTTCTTAAGTACTATATATGCATATATATGTATACATATATTCATATGGATAAAGGAACTCATACATGTATATGCAATGATGAACATTTGATCATATGTTCTTGCCCTTTTCCCCATTTAAAAAATAAAAACATTCTTGAGCACTTTTTCCCCTCTGCTTAACAGTGTGTCTTAGAGATGGGTCCATATTTGTACATAGAAATTTCCCTTTTTTATTCATTCATTTATTCTCTCTCGCTGGCTCTCTCTCTCTCTCTCTCTCTCTGTTGCACCAAGTCCTTTGTATGTGTATATTATAATTTATTTACACTATTTTGCTATTTCAAATGATGTTCCAGTACATAACCTGGTCCACATGGTAGTTCACACTACGAATGATACCATATCTGCAGGATACATTTGCTGAAAGGAGATTGTGAGGCCAAAAGCTATGTCTTTGTAATTTTGATAGATAGCGCCACGTTGCCAGTTGCAAAGTCTGATTCTATTTTTCCTCCCATCAAGCAATATATGAATGCACATGCTTCCTCACAGCCTTGCCAAGGTGTGCTCTCATATAGTAGACTTTTTGCAAATCTGAAAGGTGAAAATTGGCGTCTCAGTGTTAGTACACAACCTAATACATGTGTACTTTCTTAACTACGATTTGTGTAAGTTTTTTTGTAAGACTTTATTGAAAGGGTATTCCTATATTGTTTCCCATGGAAGGTCAATTTAAAAGATGGCATGAAGTCATTACTAAGGGGCTGGATACAGTTTCAGATCTGAGTGGGTAAATTGGCTTTGTGAAGAGAAATGCAGTTCTCTGTATACTCAGCCCCTTCAACAGCTGATGGTACCTTAGTCAGGTTTTACCTAAAGAACAGCAATGCGTAATAAGGCAAAGCAATGTGGTTAGCAAACTAGCATCATTGTAAACATAATTCAAAATTCATTTTCTCTGACAGTGGGACCGTGGCACTGTACTAGTATTTAATGCCCTATCTATACTAATATTAAAAAATAGAAGAAAGCATCAAGAAACCAATTGTAGTCACCATAAGAAAAGAATCTTCCAGATAGTAAAAGCCCTGATTATATTTAAAAAAAAAAAGACATGCACAGACTTTGCTGTTTTGATGTACTTTCAGAAACTTTCCTAATTTAAGATTTTGTATTAATGAAGAAATAAGAATGTTTGGTAACTGTTATATAATTTTGTGCTAACGACTGCCTTTGAGGGACAGGGAAAACGTTTGGTTTTCCAGTTGCTTAAATAAGTTATTTTAATTAATGTTTACAAGAGTAACTGAGCAAAATTTTATTTAGAAGCAGCAAGAAAATAAAATAAACATTAACCCAATCTTCCAAGTGAATACAAAGTCTCAATTATGGGACCAATGAAGGAATGCTGATTTTCTTCCTCCCTGGAATGGGCTTTATTTTGACGGCCCATGCCTGCACTGTGAAGACGTTCCACACCTGTCCATATAGCATTAAGACTACAACTCCCTGTCAGTAACCAAGGGCTCATTTTACCTCCATTATTTCCCAAATCAAAGTTTGCAATTTAATTTGATCTTTCTCTTAAGAAATGAGGACAAAGTCTCATATATTAATAAGTCTGTGTATAGTGGAAGCATTTGGTTAACTATGTCATACTACCATTTTGTTGACAATGCAGTATAAATGATAACTTTGGGGAATAAGATGATTACACATCTTCAGAGTGATGGGAGAACTGTATGGACAAATGCCATAACCTAAGAGAGCACCTGGTACATCCTACTCTTAATATTTATTGCCAGTTCCATAGAGCAGTGTTCCAATAACGCTGTTAATTGGCAGTGTTTTTTCTTAGCAGCTCACAAAAACAATGGTGCAGCTTACAGGTGAAGGCGTCCCAGTTTGACAAAATGCAGTATTTTAGCGCAGAGCCATCCCACTCCCAGTGCAATGACCAGCTCCACCTCCAGGGTTCATGAGAAGAGAGTAGTCATAACATTGATATAAATAGAACCCCATTATTGTCCCATAGTCTTCTCTGGTGTTCCATTTATCATTGATTATACATTACATATGGACTCTGAATATAATCAAAATAGAAGAGTCATTTAAAAAACCCAAGAACCTAATCAAGGTCGAATTTCATCCATCATCACAATTATTCTGGTAATTTTTGGGTAGCCTTTTTCTCTCTCCTACATACCAATGTGGGGGAGATATGCATAGCTTGGAGAAACCCAAATGGGATCATATGCTATGAAATAAGATCATTTCCCACAAGCAAAGAGTTAAATCCCCTGAAGTATTAGTTATCTGATACGTTTTGTCAAAGAAAGAGTACATCTGAGAACCTAACCCAATATTTAACTTCTTCAGGATAGGTTTATTTCTTTTAGAATCCTGTCTTTATTTTTACCTGTAGTTCCAGAAGTATAAATGTATATGGCAGCAGTGGAAAGAGTGACTTCAGACCTCCATGACTCTGGGATAGGTTCAGTTGAGACCTCATCCACTTTGTCTAGCAAAGAGTCAATCCCGTCTGTGCTGGACGTTCTGCTCACGTAATAGATGGACACATTATCTTTCTTCAGGTTTGGCAGCACCTCCTCAACAGATGCTTGTAGTTCTTAATTTAATAAGAAAAAAAAACCAAACAAATTAAATTAGTGCATCAAAGTTCTATTAGTGTAAAAAGCTTCATGGTAATTTTATTTTCAGCATAATTTTTGCTAAAATGTATAGACATGACAAGTGAGGCTTAGAGTTATTCATTTTTTAAAAAATATTTTATTTATTTATTTTAGAGAGGATAAGGGAGGGAGAAAGAGAGGGAAACAAACATCAATGTGTGTTTGCCTCTCACATGCCCCCCATTGGGGGACCTGGCTCGCAACCCAGGCATGTGCCCTAGACTGGGAATTGAACCAGTGGCCCTTTGGTTTTCAGGCCGGCACTCAATCCACTGAGCCACACCAGCCAGGGCCTAGAGTTATACATTTTTTTAACATGGAATTTGCCACATTTGGAAATATTACAAGATTCCAATATTTGAGGGAAGAATAGGTTTTGATGGTTTTTCATAATCAGCAAATGGTTGTTTAAAAATCTGTACAAACAAATGGACAAACCAAGATATATACATGCGTAAGTTATATGTATATTTGGTATACATCTCAAAATATTCCAGAAATGAATTTAGCTATTCCCAATAATGTGTTCCCCTGGATCAATGATGAGAAAAAAATTTTTTAAGAAGGAGAAAAGAAATGAAAATAAGGGAGCATGCTAAGTAACAAAGATGATGCAAGTTGGCTTTTTTTTTTTTTAAAACACATCAGCAGCAAGTAGTTCCATTAGGAAGTTTTAACTGATCTGAGAAATAAGCTCCAGATTTCATAAGCACATTCTCTGATTTGAGAAAAAAAGAAACACACTGATTAGCATGTTTTCACCATGGGTCACAATACAGTAGTGGATTGTTAAAATCATTTAAAGTGACCAGTATTTTTAAAAATTAAAATATAATGAAATAGAAATTTCCAGAGCACATTGCACTTAGTAAAAGGTACTTATTGTTTTTAAAAAGTTTTGCTTCAGTTATGTTGGCATGTGGGCACTGGGTCATGCACAAATGTATTTTTCACTATAGGTCAAGGTCAAATATTTTAAAGACACCAATTTAATATGCAAACCACATTTCATGTATGCTACTTGGATTTCTTTGCCCTTCAAACTGTAAGATGAAATGGCCTTTAAGCTTACTTGTCTTCAACTGTGATATCTGATGTGAATACATTTTTATTCTTAATGGGAAGATGACTCAATATCCCAGGGAATTACCCTGGGGAGACTATAGCTAAGTCATCTTATATGCTTTGTTTTTCAGATGTTTGTGTATAATGTCTCCATCAAGACAAGAAATGTCATTTATATGGATGCGTTTAAATTTTTTTAAAAAATATTTTAGCCCTGGCCAAATAACTCAGTTGGTTACAGCATCATCCTGATACACCAAAGTTGCATAAATAAGTGGAACAACAAATTGATGTCTCTCCCTCCTTTCTCTCTAAAAAATCAATCAATAAAAAAACTTTTTAAAAAACCATAAAATTTTTAAAAAACATTTTAACTGAAGACTCATGGGCTTGATAAAAATAAGTCAACTAGTAAAAAAGGGTTTATGATGAAAATCAGCCCTAGCTGGTTTGGCTCAGTGGATAGAGCCCTGGCCTGCGAACAAAAGGGCTTGCTGGTTTGATTCCCAGTCTAGGGCACATGTCTGGGTTGCAGGCCAGGTCCCCAACAGAGGGCGTGCAAAATGCAACCATACATTGATGTTTCTCTCCCTCTGTTTCTCCTTCTCTTCCCTTCTCTAAAAATAAATAAATAAAATCTTAAAAAAAAGAAGTCAACAGGCCTTTATCCTGTCTCTCCTCGAAACTAAGCCTGTTGCCTAGGTGCAATCACTTTCAACTTTTTAAGCTGTTTCTTCTGGCAATTACCTCTTCATCACCAAACAGTGTACTTTTCCTGTTACCTCTTGACCTATTAATTTTTATCCCCACCTCCGTTTTATCTGTGCCCACTCCCAACAGTTATTATGTTCTCTTTATGTTGTCTGGGTTGATGGTATTTATTTCTATTCTGAGACTGTAATTCTGTTTTCCCAGTTTTGTCTATGGGTTGGCTCTAGAAGCTGAAAACCAATAATCAGAACTGATAAGATTATGACTATGTAAATATTATTCATACTATAGTCACATTTCCTTTCTTGAACAGTTTTCTCCTGCAGTTTCTAATGGCTATCATTTTTTTAATATACTATTTGCCTCAATTCTTTGTTCAGCCTCCATCAAGTCAGCTTCTCTTTTTTTTTACCCTCTTCTATTCTTTATTTTGACTGGTTGTTCCCTAGTCCTTTAGCACATTGGGAAGGGTACCAAAAATATTATCGTTATAAAAACCAGAGTGGTAATAACACTCCATCCTTTGGCACTGCCTTGGCTCAGATGATCATTATTTCCTACCTATGACTGCACCAGCCTCCTGACCAACCTCTGTGCCCCTAACCTCTCCCTACCAATTTATCAGTACCCTACTGCCCAACTTCTTGTTACTTCCCTGTTGAAAATCCTTCAGTGTCTGCTCACCCCAATGAAAGAATCCACTCTTCTTATGCTACATGTGAGGTCCTGATTCACAGTCTATTCTGCTGTTTTTCTGATGTCACCTCCTATCTACCTCTGGTCCCCTTTCCTCTAACCAAACTGACCTATGTAAACTAAATGTACCCATCCTCTCACATCTCATTTCCTTTGTCTGTGTGATTTCATCTGCCTGGAGTGACCTCCCAGCCCCTGGACACCTGGCAAACTCCCGCTCACCCTTCAAGACTCAGACTCACTCCTCTCTGTTGCCTTCCCACAGAGCCAAGCTGGTGCTCCCACAGGAGTCTGTGGATTTGTAACAGAGTATTGAGTACGTAGTGTGACATGCTTCAGTTCTTTTTCTCCTCTACAGTGAAAACTTTGAGATTAAGGGATTAAGACTTAATCATCTTGGCACCACCCCACTAACATTAGAAAATTTATAATTGAAAGAATCTGCACAACGTATTGTATTAGTCAGTGTGGAAGAGATGGAGGAATAACCCAAAGCTGTTGATTTTAAAGGAAGCAGGTCTTATAACACCGTGAGTTGATAAACCTCTAATAAAATAGAGTGCAAAATAATTTCCATGACACATGTGTGCATGACACATGTGTGCCTTGTATGCAGGTAAGGGCCCAGAGAAGTAAATTAAAAAACAGCTACTATTGCTACTTAAAAAATTAAGAAACCACCCTCCCTCCTTCCTTTATGCCTGGGACTGAAACTATATAGTCAAATAGTGTGTTCATGAATTACCTGGATTACTTCTCAGTTTCTCTCAACATTTATTCAAAATTTATTTATTTATTTTAATGTGTGTTTTAAAAGTTAATTTTAGAGAGAGGGAATGGGAGGGAGAGAGAGATGGAGAGAAATGGCGATCAGTTGCCCCTTGCATCTGCTCTGACTGGGAAATGAACCCTCAATCCAGGCATGTGCCCTGGCTAAGAATCAAACCTGCAACCTTTTAGTTTGCAGGAAGATGCTCCAACCAACTGAGCCACATTGGCCAGGGCTATTCAACATCTAATTAAAGAGTGCTCCCCATGTGCCCGACATGGTCCTGAGAACTGGATACAACAGTAAGCAAACCAGAAACTGTCCCTATGTCAGAGAGCCGGGGTTGAATCTGGGAGGAAACAAAGAAATAACCTATTGAAATAAGCAGTCCCAGGTGCCACAATCAGGGAAAAAGACACTGTTTTTGGAATCACGTGGGAGGAGCACAAAGACATCCCAGAGGCAATGGTATCTAAACTGAGCTCTGAAAGACAAACAGGAGTTTGTAAGATAAAGATCCACTAGGCCAGTTTCCAGCAAAGGACTCAGTTTATGCAAAGGCCCAGAGGCAAACTACAGGGTGCCTTAGGTAAAACAGGCTGAAGCTGACTGGAATGGAGAATGGGAAGGGAAGAAGATAGGCAGAAGAGGCTGGGATGTACTAGGAACCAGGTTCCTGGCTTAAGACAGATAAATGAGTTGGAGGGACAAGACCAGAGGGAGGGAGACTATTGTAGATCAAGCTTTGTTGTATTAAGGTAGCACTGGAAGGTGGAGAGAAGTAGATGTATTAAAGAGATGCTTGGGAGGTAGAATAGACAGGACTCAGTGACAGTCTTGATGAGAGCAAAATTCAAAAGAAACTTGAATTATTTCAGTAATTTTTAAAAGAAAGATATACTCAGGCATTAATGATATAAAAATTAATTATAGTAATAATAAAAAATGGAAGGAAATGTAACTAAGCAGATGTTACCCTTGATCACAATCCAAGCAATTTAGCAACATGCATCTTCTACTTCCTTCATGTTCCCACTTGGCCCTGTAGGCATTTAGTTTGTGATCTCTGACCATTCACAGAAGTCATCCCATCTAAAGGGAAGACCATTGCTCCTGTCCACCACAATTTCCCTACCCAGCCTCTGGGATGTTGATGCGGAATTTGCATTATGGCATTGACTTGAATTCCCAGTAACTAGCCAACATATCAGGACATACCTAGTAGTACATCCTATGGTAGTAGACTTTCTTCCTTCAAAGATGCTGATATAAAAACTGAAATTTGAAAGGAAATTCTGGATGTAAACAGCACTTATTAATTATGTATTTGATAGTACACTTTCTTAAGTCTTTTATAAATATGATTAGGCCTAGATGTTTTCTTCCTCACACATGAATCTTTGTTGTTGCTGTAATTCTTACTGTAAAGTCTGCTTACTTAGAGTAAACGTGGTAATCCACCAGGACACATAAGCTCAAATAATTCTGCTTGCCACAGGCTGAGTTCCCTGGGCCTCTGAGATTCTGAGATTTGTATGCTGAAGTGCTTTTGGGAATGACACTTGAGGATGCAAGGGAAGTAGGTCGGAGAGAGGGAGAATTCGAACTGCAATGCAATGACACAGCGGCCTCCCTCAACTGAGCCTCTGATCCTATGGGGACTCCGGGCCTGGGATGGCGCTTCATGGTTGTCCC